TTACTAATGTGTTGATATCCAATGTGGTCTGTGGGTCCACCATTACTAATGTGTTGATATCCAACTGTGGGTCCACCATTACTAATGTGTTAATATCCAATGTGGTCTGTGGGTCCACCATTACTAATGTGTTGATATCCAATGTGGTCTGTGGGTCCACCATTACTAATGTGTTGATATCCAACTGTGGGTCCACCATTACTAATGTGTTGATATCCAATGTGGTCTGTGGGTCCACCATTACTAATGTGTTAATATCCAATGTGGTCTGTGGGTCCACCATTACTAATGTGTTGATATCCAATGTGGTCTGTGGGTCCACCATTACTAATGTGTTGATATCCAATGTGGGTCCACCATTACTAATGTGTTGATATCCAATGTGGTCTGTGGGTCCACCATTACTAATGTGTTGATATCCAACTGTGGGTCCACCATTACTAATGTGTTGATATCCAATGTGGTCTGTGGGTCCACCATTACTAATGTGTTGATATCCAATGTGGTCTGTGGGTCCACCATTACTAATGTGTTGATATCCAATGTGGTCTGTGGGTCCACCATTACTAATGTGTTGATATCCAACTGTGGGTCCACCATTACTAATGTGTTGATATCCAATGTGGTCTGTGGGTCCACCATTACTAATGTGTTGATATCCAATGTGGTCTGTGGGTCCACCATTACTAATGTGTTGAAATCCAATGTGGTCTGTGGGTCCACCATTACTAATGTGTTGATATCCAACTGTGGGTCCACCATTACTAATGTGTTGATATCCAATGTGGTCTGTGGGTCCACCATTACTAATATGTTGATATCCAATGTGGTCTGTGGGTCCACCATTACTAATGTGTTGATATCCAACTGTGGGTCCACCATTACTAATGTGTTGATATCCAATGTGGTCTGTGGGTCCACCATTACTAATGTGTTGATATCCAATGTGGTCTGTGGGTCCACCATTACTAATGTGTTGATATCCAACTGTGGGTCCACCATTACTAATGTGTTGATATCCAATGTGGTCTGTGGGTCCACCATTACTAATGTGTTGATATCCAATGTGGTCTGTGGGTCCACCATTACTAATGTGTTGATATCCAATGTGGTCTGTGGGTCCACCATTACTAATGTGTTGATATCCAATGTGGTCTGTGGGTCCACCATTACTAATGTGTTGATATCCAATGTGGTCTGTGGGTCCACCATTACTAATGTGTTAATATCCAACTGTGGGTCCACCATTACTAATGTGTTGATATCCAATGTGGTCTGTGGGTCCACCATTACTAATGTGTTGATATCCAATGTGGTCTGTGGGTCCACCATTACTAATGTGTTGATATCCAACTGTGGGTCCACCATTACTAATGTGTTGATATCCAATGTGGTCTGTGGGTCCACCATTACTAATGTGTTGATATCCAACTGTGGGTCCACCATTACTAATATGTTGATATCCAACTGTGGGTCCACCATTACTAATGTGTTGATATCCAATGTGGTCTGTGGGTCCACCATTACTAATGTGTTGATATCCAATGTGGTCTGTGGGTCCACCATTACTAATGTGTTGATATCCAACTGTGGGTCCACCATTACTAATGTGTTGATATCCAATGTGGTCTGTGGGTCCACCATTACTAATGTGTTGATATCCAACTGTGGGTCCACCATTACTAATGTGTTGATATCCAATGTGGTCTGTGGGTCCACCATTACTAATGTGTTGATATCCAATGTGGTCTGTGGGTCCACCATTACTAATGTGTTGATATCCAATGTGGTCTGTGGGTCCACCATTACTAATGTGTTGATATCCAATGTGGTCTGTGGGTCCACCATTACTAATGTGTTAATATCCAACTGTGGGTCCACCATTACTAATGTGTTGATATCCAATGTGGTCTGTGGGTCCACCATTACTAATGTGTTGATATCCAATGTGGTCTGTGGGTCCACCATTACTAATGTGTTGATATCCAACTGTGGGTCCACCATTACTAATGTGTTGATATCCAATGTGGTCTGTGGGTCCACCATTACTAATGTGTTGATATCCAACTGTGGGTCCACCATTACTAATATGTTGATATCCAACTGTGGGTCCACCATTACTAATGTGTTGATATCCAATGTGGTCTGTGGGTCCACCATTACTAATGTGTTGATATCCAACTGTGGGTCCACCATTACTAATGTGTTGATATCCAATGTGGTCTGTGGGTCCACCATTACTAATGTGTTGATATCCAATGTGGTCTGTGGGTCCACCATTACTAATGTGTTGATATCCAATGTGGTCTGTGGGTCCACCATTACTAATGTGTTGATATCCAATGTGGTCTGTGGGTCCACCATTACTAATGTGTTGATATCCAATGTGGTCTGTGGGTCCACCATTACTAATGTGTTGATATCCAACTGTGGGTCCACCATTACTAATGTGTTGATATCCAATGTGGTCTGTGGGTCCACCATTACTAATGTGTTGATATCCAATGTGGTCTGTGGGTCCACCATTACTAATGTGTTGATATCCAACTGTGGGTCCACCATTACTAATGTGTTGATATCCAATGTGGTCTGTGGGTCCACCATTACTAATGTGTTGATATCCAATGTGGTCTGTGGGTCCACCATTACTAATGTGTTGATATCCAATGTGGTCTGTGGGTCCACCATTACTAATGTGTTGATATCCAATGTGGTCTGTGGGTCCACCATTACTAATGTGTTGATATCCAATGTGGTCTGTGGGTCCACCATTACTAATGTGTTGATATCCAATGTGGTCTGTGGGTCCACCATTACTAATGTGTTGATATCCAATGTGGTCTGTGGGTCCACCATTACTAATGTGTTGATATCCAACTGTGGGTCCACCATTACTAATGTGTTAATATCCAATGTGGTCTGTGGGTCCACCATTACTAATGTGTTGATATCCAATGTGGTCTGTGGGTCCACCATTACTAATGTGTTAATATCCAATGTGGTCTGTGGGTCCACCATTACTAATGTGTTGATATCCAATGTGGTCTGTGGGTCCACCATTACTAATGTGTTGATATCCAACTGTGGGTCCACCATTACTAATGTGTTGATATCCAATGTGGTCTGTGGGTCCACCATTACTAATGTGTTGATATCCAATGTGGTCTGTGGGTCCACCATTACTAATGTGTTGATATCCAATGTGGTCTGTGGGTCCACCATTACTAATGTGTTGATATCCAATGTGGTCTGTGGGTCCACCATTACTAATGTGTTGATATCCAATGTGGTCTGTGGGTCCACCATTACTAATGTGTTGATATCCAACTGTGGGTCCACCATTACTAATGTGTTGATATCCAACTGTGGGTCCACCATTACTAATGTGTTGATATCCAATGTGGTCTGTGGGTCCACCATTACTAATGTGTTGATATCCAATGTGGTCTGTGGGTCCACCATTACTAATGTGTTGATATCCAACTGTGGCTCCACCATTACTAATGTGTTGATATCCAATGTGGTCTGTGGGTCCACCATTACTAATGTGTTGATATCCAATGTGGTCTGTGGGTCCACCATTACTAATGTGTTGATATCCAATGTGGTCTGTGGGTCCACCATTACTAATGTGTTGATATCCAACTGTGGGTCCACCATTACTAATGTGTTGATATCCAACTGTGGGTCCACCATTACTAATGTGTTGATATCCAATGTGGTCTGTGGGTCCACCATTACTAATGTGTTGATATCCAATGTGGTCTGTGGGTCCACCATTACTAATGTGTTGATATCCAACTGTGGCTCCACCATTACTAATGTGTTGATATCCAATGTGGTCTGTGGGTCCACCATTACTAATGTGTTGATATCCAATGTGGTCTGTGGGTCCACCATTACTAATGTGTTGATATCCAATGTGGTCTGTGGGTCCACCATTACTAATGTGTTGATATCCAACTGTGGGTCCACCATTACTAATGTGTTGATATCCAATGTGGTCTGTGGGTCCACCATTACTAATGTGTTGATATCCAATGTGGTCTGTGGGTCCACCATTACTAATGTGTTAATATCCAATGTGGTCTGTGGGTCCACCATTACTAATGTGTTAATATCCAATGTGGTCTGTGGGTCCACCATTACTAATGTGTTGATATCCAATGTGGTCTGTGGGTCCACCATTACTAATGTGTTGATATCCAATGTGGTCTGTGGGTCCACCATTACTAATGTGTTGATATCCAATGTGGTCTGTGGGTCCACCATTACTAATGTGTTGATATCCAATGTGGTCTGTGGGTCCACTATTACTAATGTATTGATATCCAATTCTTATTTTGTTCTTGCTTTGTGTGAACAAGAGATAACTTAGTTTGTGATGTGACAATAGGGGTAATGTGACAATAGGGGTAATGTGACAATAGGGGTAATGTGACAATAGGGGTAATGTGACAATAGGGGTAATGTGCCATTGAAAACCACGGGTATACTTATTGAGCAAGGAATACTTGGCAGTAGATTTGGTTGACAGCTTGCCACAAGTATAGGCCTGATAAGGGTCATTCACTGACAGGTCCTCTAGTTTATTGATCCATTTGTCAATTAGGCAGCTGGTCAATGTAACCATCCTAGTCACTTTAAACAGCCACTAGTAAAGTGTTACATATGTAACATGTATCCATCCTAGTCACTTTAAACAGCCACTAGTAAAGTGTTACATATGTAACATGTATCCATCCTAGTCACTTTAAACAGCCACTAGTAAAGTGTTACATATGTAACATGTATCCATCCTAGTCACTTTAAACAGCCACTAGTAAAGTGTTACATATGTAACATGTATCCATCCTAGTCATTGTAAACAGCCACTAGTAAAGTGTTACACATGTAACTACTACTACTGATCTTTCTGGGTTGCCTTGCAAGTGGCATGCTATTGAAGTTTCATACTTTCTTCTAAGATGTTTTAAACTAGAAGTTCATTTGTTTTTCAGATATCAATAATAAAATGGAAACAAGGTATCTCTTTACCAACTGGAGAACAATAGTAAGAAAATGGAAGCCATTAGGATGTGTAATTACCCAGAATTCTAAAGGCTGTGTATCTACCTGGACCCCATTTGCTGCTGCATTTAACACCAAGCCTCAGAGAAAGTTCAAACTTCAAATTAACAAAGGAAATGTGGTACACTATTTCTGTATACATATTTAGCATCAATTTGTCATACAGCATGCAAAACATAATCACGTTTTGGCTTATAGTCTTGCAACCTAGTAACATAAATAAGTATTTTGTCCAATCAGTGAGTACCAAAAAGATTGTTAGAAAAAAGTCACTCAAAATAGGAAAGGTGACTTTATATAGTAACTACTATTGTCTTAAGATGTATGTGTTGTTTTACACTAAATTAAGTATTAAACAGCAAAAAGGGTTTTAAAAACAATTTTGGTTGTCATGGAAACCCAAAAAAAAAACCTCAGCCTTTTTTTAATTTTAGGTACTTTTAAAAACACTAAGGCTTTTTTATTTATGCACTTATAGCAATCAAATTTAAAAGGCATATATTTCAGTATATATTAAAAACTTCTTAATAGAGCTACTAGTCAGAATTCTGCAAGGTCAGAAAAATCTCACTCTTTTTAGTATGCAAAAGTTTAAAACTTTACATATCATTGTTGAACATTAACTTTTTTTTAAGGTGGGCAATGTATTATTAATTTTTTTTAAAAGTAGTCGTCAAAAGTTTTAAAATATACTGAAATATAAGCAGTTTAAATTTGATTGCTATAAGTGCATAAGTTAAGTTATTATTCTCCAATATAAAAATGGACAAAGTATCCAAAAGTGCAAGAAACAACAAATTTATTCAAACAACGGTTACAATTGTAGGCACAAAGGCCTTTTTTCACATTGGCCGTTTAAACAAATAAAACAATTCAATAACACATAGCAGTAACACATAGCACTAAAAATGTGGAATAAAGAAACAATGGTACATAGCTATCATACACAATGAGATAAAAAAGAGAATATAATAGATGAATGAGAAATGTTACAATGAGTCAGTTAGGTCATTAAATAATTTTAGTTTTAGTTTAGATTTGAATATATTTTCAGATCTAGATAGCTTTATTTTATTAGGAAGATTGTTCCACAAATTAGAACCAGAGTAGGCGAAGCTATGTTTTTGGAAAAAGGTTGAATAAGGGAATGGTAAATTAAGACGACGATTTAATTTTATGTTAAAAGAAAATAGATCTGATAAGTAAGAGGGGGCTGTTTCGTGGAATATTTTATATAAGAAAATTGATTTAGTATATATTATCTTTTTATTTAATGGAAGTATTTTAGTTGTAAGAAAAGAATCCAGACTACTAGACAAGCCAGTAACCAGTTTTATAGCCCTTTTTTGTAAAGAAAGAAGAGGGCGCTGCTTAGTTATAAATTATGATTTTGGTGATTTTTTTATTCCCTTAATTTAAACAAATTCATAGTTGCAAAAGAAACAAAAATAAAATTCATTTTAATATTAACTTTTATAAACACTGAAAATAAAATTTAAAAAAACATGCTTTCTTTAGTAAAACCATTTGTTGCTTATGAATTCTCATAAACATTTTACTAACAAAAACGTTGTTTTTTGTTTGCTTTTCAAAGCTTATTATTATTATTAATTATGTTTATATTTGATGAAGATTGCAAATTGAGATTATAATGCAACTGTAGGATTTAGTAAATAACCTTTGTTTAATTAACAGATTTTCAAAATGTTGACAATTTTTAGGGGTTGTTCTGTCTGCCTGAATTAAAAGACCACACAGGATTCTATTTGTTAAAACAAACTGTTGAGGAGGACGTGCACAGATTAGTCACTGAAGCCACATCCAAGAATAGAACTCGTAAAATAGTCACCATATTTGATGAGCTTTCAGATACATTGTGTAGAGTTGCAGATATGGTAAGTGAAATTGACATACAACATGAAGGTGCAGATATGGTAAGTGAAATTGACATACAACATGAAGGTGCAGATATGGTAAGTGAAATTGACATACAACATGAAGGTGCAGATATGGTAAGTGAAATTGACATACAACATGAAGGTGCAGATATGGTAAGTGAAATTGACATACAACATGAAGGTGCAGATATGGTAAGTGAAATTGACATACAACATGAAGGTGCAGATATGGTAAGTGAAATTGACATACAACATGAAGGTGCAGATATGGTAAGTGAAATTGACATACAACATGAAGGTGCAGATATGGTAAGTGAAATTGACATACAACATGAAGGTGCAGATATGGTAAGTGAAATTGACATACAACATGAAGGTGCAGATATGGTAAGTGAAATTGACATACAACATGAAGGTGCAGATATGGTAAGTGAAATTGACATACAACATGAACATTTAGAGTTTCTTAGATTGTAATTAATATTTTCAAACTCCCTGTGTATTTGATGATACAGTGAGTGAGCTAAGCATACTATTGTATGAGTTGCCTTTGATCTAGTCAGATTTTGTGAGAGTGGCCCACCCAGATCCTGCCTTTGCTCAAGCTGCTGAGGAAACATGTGTTGAGTTGTCCAGTTTAGTGGAGAGGTAAGTGGCTTCAGCTCGTTGAACTAACTTGTTGATCTTTGGTTAAACCAATCATGTCTGACTCGTTGAATGGTTTATTTGCTACCTTTATTTGCCACTGATACTTTAGACGTCTCATTACGACCTGGTATTTGCAACTTCTCATTACAACCAGATATTTGATTAACCCTGTGTGATGAACCCTGTGGGATAAACTTCCCCAGACTAAACACAAATGTGTCCCTTCATGCTGTGCTGAAGACTGTTCTAAATGATGGAGACTTGGTCCCAACAGATGCAGTAGATCAGCGGGTCACACAACTTTTTATGTTCGACTTTGAACAGAGCGGGATACACCTAGAAGAAAAACAGGTACTTCAGCCATGCTACTACTACCTGACATTTACCTCTTCTCATTAAGCCCTGACATTTACCTCTTCTCATTACGCCCTGACATATACCTCTTCTCATTATGACCTGACATTTACCTCTTCTCATTATGACCTGACATATACCTCTTCTCATTATGACCTGACATTTACCTCTTCTCATTATGACCTGACATTTACCTCTTCTCATTATGACCTGACATATACCTCTTCTCATTATGACCTGACATTTACCTCTTCTCATAATGACCTGACAGTTACCTCTTCTCATTACGCCCTGACATTTTATTTTAATTGGACTATTGCGCTACTTCTGACGGTGCTACATTAAGAATAAATGTAGGTTAAGATTCAGAATTTCAGCGGATTTACGAGTTTTTCAGAATCTAAATTTTCTGCTGATATTTTCATGTAAATATTTATCATAAACACTGGAAAAAATAATCATTCTTCAAATGAAACTTACATCTCACAAGTCTGGCAATCTAGCTATGGTTATAGCCTAATTTATCAATCGGTATTTTAACCCGCCAAAATCTAGTTTCCATATAATTCTATTTACTACTAGGACTAGACTAACCAGCCCCTCAACGGTGGCTCTTGTAATGTTACCATGACCCCAAGTACGTGTTCGGTACTGCTTGCTTAGGGAGAAAATAAAAATGACGTCACAGTCAATGTCAAATAGCCGTTCCTGGAATACATATGCTATTGGCAATTCCAATAGGCCTACAAATTAAAAAAAACTCAACTCAACGTGACTCTGACCGCGTCCTGTTTGTGGAAGAAAAAATATGATACAGACTTTTTTTGACAAGCGGTCTTCCATAAATAACGTCACACTCGTAGGGAGAGGGGGAATCCGCAATTTGGTGATGAGGGGAGAAGGGGGGGGGGTAAATAATGTGACATCATATTTTTGTATTTTTTAAAAAGTAGTAACGCTAGAAACTGAATTTTAGTCACTGTTAGGCGTTTCAGAAAACTTTTAAAAATAATTATCATTTAAAAAGTTTTTAAAAACCCACGTTTTCTGATTGAACTAAAAAGTAGAAAATAAATGCTATACATCACAATAATGCAAGCGATCACTCTACTATAAGCGATGAAAAACGTGGGGCGCCGAAGTAAAAGTTTTTTATCGGTCATTGTTAATATAAGATGTAAAAGTTATATTACTATTGATTAGATAATACTATTGAGTTTTATTAGGGAGCTTGTAGAGAGTCAACAGTATTAGAAACTGTAAGAAAATCACGGCTCCCCACGTTTTTCATCGCTTATAGTAGAGTGATCGCTTGCATTATTGTGATGTATAGCATTTATTTTCTACTTTTTTTGTTCAATCAGAAAACGTGGGTTTTTAAAAACTTTTTTAATGATAATTATTTTCTACTTTTTAGTCTTTCTCTGTTAGTTTGCATTCAAATCTTGCTATCGATTTTATCTTCTCGCATTCACTTTTTTTTTGGGTAAACGAAGACAACTCGTAAAAAACACGTGCCTTTTCCAATCGACGTTTCTTCTGTGTTGCCGTTTCTTTCACCATTTTGCCCTCGCGTGCAAACCATTCGACCATCAACATTCTACTTCCTGATCAGTCAGATTTTGTACATAGGTTTGTACACAAACACCGCGTGACCACTACTCAGTAAGCCAAAAGAGGGAGAGTACTGAACCTTGTTTTTATGAAATTACAATTACTAGGTTATGTCCCTTTTTTTGGTACAAATCAATAGGAGTCTAAAATGATCCATAAAATTTTTCCATGGATCAATTTAGTAATAATAATAATTGAATATTGTATTGTCATCGGAAACAAAGCTTCCCTGAAAATTTCAGCGCGCTAGCTAACTGGGAAGTGCCCGAAATTTTGATCGCAAGATTTGATTGGAAAAACAAACAAACAGACGCGAAAGCAAGTTAAAGAAAACGTGGGAAAAATTGGCTGAGCTCAGTCAATATTTTAGGAAAAAAAAATCTGTTTAAAAAAATATTTTCATATTCAATTTTGAGGAGGGGGGGGGCAGTTGTTGGCTGAGGTATGACGTCATTTTGGGGGGGGGGGGGTCTGGCTTTTGTTACGGAGGGGAGAGGGGAGTAAAAAATCCTTAAAAAAAACTGACATCATGTATGGATGACCACTAACGATTTACAGCTGTTCCAAAAACATAAGTAACGATGTGGCTTGGATATCAAAATGGTTAACTTTGCTTCAAATATCAGACCCTTTCTAATTTCAGCTAATCTGGCCAACTCCACTTTCCATCAAATGAACCAAAACTTTCTAATTACAATTAATCTAAATCTAGGCTCTTACAATATTTTTACCATGCCACTCTTTTAAAGAATATAAGATATAATTGAAAATTTGAAAACTAGAGTACAACTAGACTAGATTAGCATTGTTTAAATTAGCCTAATGTTAAAATAAAACATAATGGCAACTTAGTTTACATTGTAAATTTTTTTTTTTTAAAGTTGTTTAGAAGTTAAACATTAAATTGCAATTAGACAATACTTACAATGTTATTTTAGAGTAACATAAACTTCTTTTATTTAAAATATTAAACAATCAATTAGCACAGTTACCTTATGAGATTGCTTTAACTGCAATAAAAAATAGATAAAACATATTGAGTTCTTGTCCAAAGAATATTTCCTAATTTTTTTTCCTGGTCTGGTCACATCTCTGTACCTGACATTTACCTCTTCTCATCACTACCTGATATTTACAATCACCTCTTTTGTAGCCAGACACAGTTTAGTGAAATCAAACACACAATTCAAGCTATACTACAGTTCTTTATTTAAATATCAATCTTTGACTCCTACTATAACTACTTCATAACACATGACTGTCTACTGCAACTTTCCTACATACTCCACTGTCTACTGCAACTTTCCTACATACTCCACTGTCCTACATACTCCACCGTCTACTGCAACTTTCCTACATACTCTACTGTCTACTGCAACTTTCCTACATACTCCACTGTCTACTGCAACTTTCCTACATACTCCACTGTCTACTGCAACTTTCCTACATACTCCACTGTCTACTGCAACTTTCCTACATACTTCACTGTCTACTGCAACTTTCCTACATACTCCACTGTCTACTGCAACTTTCCTACATACTCCACTGTCTACTGCAACTTTCCTACATACTCCACTGTCTACTGCAACTTTCCTACATACTCCACTGTCTACTGCAACTTTCCTACATACTTCACTGTCAACTGCAACTTTCCTACATACTCCACTGTCTACTGCAACTTTCCTACATACTTCACTGTCAACTGCAACTTTCCTACATACTCCACTGTCTACTGCAACTTTCCTACATACTTCACTGTCTACTGCAACTTTCCTACATACTCCACTGTCTACTGCAACTTTCCTACATACTCCACTGTCAAGTGCAACTTTCCTACATACTCCACTGTCTACTGCAACTTTCCTACATACTCCACTGTCTACTGCAACTTTCCTACATACTCCACTGTCTACTGCAACTTTCCTACATACTCCACTGTCTACTGCAACTTTCCTACATACTCCACTGTCTACTGCAACTTTCCTACATACTCCACTGTCTACTGCAACTTTCCTACATACTCCACTGTCAAGTGCAACTTTCCTACATACTCCACTGTCTACTGCAACTTTCCTACATACTCCACTGTCTACTGCAACTTTCCTACATACTCCACTGTCTACTGCAACTTTCCTACATACTCCACTGTCTACTGCAACTTTCCTACATACTCCACTGTCTACTGCAACTTTCCTACATACTCCACTGTCAAGTGCAACTTTCCTACATACTCCACTGTCTACTGCAACTTTCCTACATACTCCACTGTCTACTGCAACTTTCCTACATACTCCACTGTCTACTGCAACTTTCCTACATACTCCACTGTCTACTGCAACTTTCCTACATACTCCACTGTCTACTGCAACTTTCCTACATACTCCACTGTCTACTGCAACTTTCCTACATACTCCACTGTCAAGTGCAACTTTCCTACATACTCCACTGTCTACTGCAACTTTCCTACATACTCCACTGTCTACTGCAACTTTCCTACATACTCCACTGTCTACTGCAACTTTCCTACATACTCCATTGTCTACTGCAACTTTCCTACATACTCCACTGTCTACTGCAACTTTCCTACATACTCCACTGTCTACTGCAACTTTCCTACATACTCCACTGTCTACTGCAACTTTCCTACATACTCCACTGTCAAGTGCAACTTTCCTACATACTCCACTGTCTACTGCAACTTTCCTACATACTCCACTGTCAAGTGCAACTTTCCTACATACTCCATTGTCTACTGCAACTTTCCTACATACTCCACTGTCTACTGCAACTTTCCTACATACTCCACTGTCTACTGCAACTTTCCTACATACTCCACTGTCTACTGCAACTTTCCTACATACTCCACTGTCTACTGCAACTTTCCTACATACTCCACTGTCTACTGCAACTTTCCTACATACTCCACTGTCTACTGCAACTTTCCTACATACTCCACTGTCTACTGCAACTTTCCTACATACTTCACTGTCTACTGCAACTTTCCTACATACTCCACTGTCTACTGCAACTTTCCTACATACTCCACTGTCTACTGCAACTTTCCTACATACTCCACTGTCTACTGCAACTTTCCTACATACTTCACTGTCTACTGCAACTTTCCTACATACTTCACTGTCAACTGCAACTTTCCTACATACTCCACTGTCTACTGCAACTTTCCTACATACTCCACTGTCTACTGCAACTTTCCTACATACTCCACTGTCTACTGCAACTTTCCTACATACTCCACTGTCTACTGCAACTTTCCTACATACTCCACTGTCTACTGCAACTTTCCTACATACTCCACTGTCTACTGCAACTTTCCTACATACTCCACTGTCTACTGCAACTTTCCTACATACTCCACTGTCTACTGCAACTTTCCTACATACTCCACTGTCTACTGCAACTTTCCTACATACTCCACTGTCTACTGCAACTTTCCTACATACTTCACTGTCTACTGCAACTTTCCTACATACTCCACTGTCTTATAACACGCAATACAATGTGTAGATAACACTAAATAACACTGTTAAACAATAATAAGAGTTTTAATATATATATATATATATATATATATATATATATATATATATATATATATATATATATATATATATATATATATATATATATATATATACATACATATACATATACACAAGTAAACTAATTAAATAATAGATGATAAAAAGTTCTACTTCACAAATACCGATACTTAACACCACGTCCACAGCCACACACAATCAGCCGCTACACACACTGGGACACACTCTGACCCCCTTCAAGTGACCCACCTCTCCACCAACTGGGACACACTCTGACCCCCTTCAAGTGACCCACCTCTCCACCCACTGGGACACACTCTGACCCCCTTCAAGTGACACACCTCTCCACCAACTGGGACACACTCTGACCCTTTCAAGTGACCCACCTCTCCACCAACTGGGACACACTCTGACCCCCTTCAAGTGACCCACCTCTCGTGAACACTTCCATGTAAACACACTCAACCAAGGGCTACAACTGTACATAAAACTAAGGGTATCTGTCGTTTGAGCACACAACACACACACAATCAGGGACTTAACTGTCTTTACTGCGCTGTAGCGCTACCTACCTCTAACTGTTGTCCACATGTCAATAGTCAGCTGACCATCGCACGTGACTGGTCATCTACTGGTCTACCTGACTACGCTATTCTCTGTTTCTCATTTCTTCTGTTTGACCTCTAAACTATTTTTAACGTATAACTTGTGTCATCACACTACCTCTTCTCATTACTACCTGATATTTGCTTCTCATATTTATTCCAGCATTTTTGTCACTCAATGTTTTTCAGCGGACAGAGTTTGTCAAGTTGAATGAACAAGTCCATATGCTTGGCACTTTTTTTCAAAGAGGAACACAGAAGCCAGTTGGAATTCCCAAAAGCCAACTCCCAGGAAATCTGCAGCATGTGTATGTACCTTGCAACTTATTCTATACATTTGGTATAAACTACTGTTATCTACAATATGTGTATGCAGACATGCCTACCATCCAACCAAAACCGGAATAGTTCTGCTTTTTTTAAATGAAAAATCGTGTCTTGTTATGCCATTCCGCTTCCATCGAAGTTTGTTCCACTTTTAAAAAAGAAAAAATGAGTGAAAATGTAGAAAATAAGACTAAAGAAAAGACGACTAAATAAAAGACAAGACTAAAGAATAGACAAATAAATCAAATTGAGAAAAAAAGAGCAGGTAAAAGGGATTTCTATGTCACATGTTACCTTGGTTACTTACAACTTACAGCATTTATTGTTGTTCATATGGCCTAGCAATGAAGAAATCCTCAGTCTTGACAACAATATAATCAACTATCTAGCAATGAAGAAAACAACCAAGCTCATTGACCCGGGCACAACACCAAGTATCTCAAATAAAAAGACATTAACACTAAGCTAATGGGTCCATTATCTAACCAAGAAAATAAAATATCTAGGATGGAATATTATAGCACATTGTATCTTAAATATCCTGATATAACTTAACTAGCTGCATACCCGTGCTCCGCCACGGCAAATCTTTTTTAAATGTACCAACTTGGTAACAGAACAAAACAAACAAAAACACAACACAACCACAACACAACACAACCACAGCCACAACATTAGAATCACCACCGAACAACAGGCTTCCCTAGGCGTCTGCGCCCAAAGAGAGCCTTTCCAGCATAAAAAATGTAAGTCACATAAATAGATCCTTCTCCATAACTTACAATAAAACAATGCAATGCAAATAAATGTACGGCAAGTGGTGTTTACTTTTATGGTTCTAAGAAAACACATAGGCAATGTAATTAGAATCACCACGAAAAACACGCTTTTCCCAGGAGAGAGCCTTTCCAGCATTCTCTATACTTTAATTCTAAAATTTCACCATCTGTTAGCAATGAAAAACAAAAACAAAAAATTGTGATTTTGAGAGATCATAGACTAATTAGAAAATAATATAAATAATATTTAAATTTTACTTATGAACCTAAACATATAATAATCAATGCGGTAGTAATAAAAAAAAATTAACTTAAATTATTGAGAGTGAGTTGAATATTAAAAACACGTTTTCCCAGGCTTCCGTGCCCAGAGAGAGCCTTTCCAGCATTCTCTAAAAGCTTAATTTCACCATTTATTATGTTTTAATAACACCGAAAAATAAAAACAAAAAATAGTGATTTTGAAAATTCATAGACTAATTAGAAAATAATATAAATAATCTTAACATTTTTCTATTTTAATTATGAACCTTAACATATAATAATCAATGTGGTAGTAATTTAAAAAAAATTAACTTAAATTAGTGATGAGTTACATTTATTTTTAAATTTCCTCTCTTGCAAAAATTAGAAAAAAAAAGTTGAATTAATTAGTTTTTCGACATACTGTTATAAAAATGTATCCACTTTTTCTAGGAATATAAACGAAAATGATATTTGACATTGATCCTTTTAATATGTTTTAGGAATGTGCGTGTATTTAATATTTTCTTTACGTTATTCAAAAGAGTAAAAACAGTGGCGACAATAAAATAACTTTATGTCGTTATATAAACAAACCCTACTCTATTACTTATAATAAGACACTGTGATGCACTGAAAAGCACTGCATTGGGCGATGTTTACTTTTATGGTTCCAAAATCTATAGCGATGACTGAAGGGAGGAAGGAAGGAAGGACTGACACACAGTCCACCTTTATTATAGATCACATCTGATGTCTTTTAATGATGACTGAAGGGAGGAAGGAAGGAAGGACTGACACACAGCCCACATTTATTATAGATCACATCTGATGTCTTTTAATTGCTAAGCCTTGTATCAACCAGGCAGCATCTAGCATGAATGGATGTCTGAGCCAATAAAAATCAACTACTCTGCAAGTGATACTGGGAAAATACTGGGTCCAACAACCACTACAGAAAATATATCCTCAATCAATAACATGTATAATACGCCCAAGAATCCCAAAATCTAGCACTAACATTTCAAACTACTGTTAGTTACTACTTTGTATCATGATCTGCCGCAACAAGGGATCCTGTGTATTTCAATAACGCCCTCTCCAAGACACCTCCCCAACTGAGAATAATCAATTGTGATACCAAGTAAAAGTTAATTAGAGTCAACAGCATAACTACTTACTAAAAAAAGATAACTAGGTACTTAACAAAAAAATAAATTACTCCATGATAATATCTGGAGAGCGTAAAAGAATATCAGTATTAACAGTTAACTAAACTATACCAATTCATACTAATCATCTAAATTTTCACTTATAGTGTGAACCAGTAACTAGTTGTTTTTACCACCAGATCTACTCTGACTTAAATAAATGGTAGATAATAGGCCTAATTATTACAACAGTCTATTCTAAATAAAACTAGATTCTAAATGGTAAAAGAAATGTTACACAAATAATGTGAACTGGTGTGACACTGCTAACTAAATCATTACAAAAAATATATTTAGTAAGCATTAATATACTAAATAAAGCTACATTTCAAATGAGCAAAAAAAAAACATGTAGTTACAAAAAATAAAAGAGGTGTACTCAACTTTTTAAAAAATCCCAGACGTCAGATCTTCATTACAACTCCCACACTCTATAGGCCACATCAGATTCATCAGTTAGTAAGTAGATCTCACACGTAGTAGGTAGATCTCACACGAAGTAGGTAGATCTCACACGTAGTAGGTAGATCTCACACGTAGTAGGTAGATCTCACACGAAGTAGGTAGATCTCACACGTAGTAGGTAGATCTCACACGTAGTAGGTAGATCTCACACGTAGTAGGTAGATCTCACACGTAGTAGGTAGATCTCACACGTAGGTAGATCTCACACGTAGTAGGTAGATGTCACACGTAGTAGGTAGATCTCACAAGTAGGTAGATCTCACACGTAGTATGTAGATCTCACACGTAGTAGGTAGATCTCACACGTAGTAGGTAGATCTCACACGTAGGTAGATCTCACACGTAGTATGTAGATCTCACACGTAGTAGGTAGATCTCACACGTAGGTAGATCTCACACGTAGTAGGAAGATCTCACACGTAGGTAGATCTCACACGTAGTAGGTAGATCTCACACGTAGTAGGTAGATCTCACACGTAGTAGGTAGATCTGACACGTAGTAGGTAGATCTCACACGTAGTAGGTAGATCTCACACGTAGTTGGTAGATCTCACACGTAGGTAGATCTCACACGTAGTAGGTAGATGTCACACGTAGTAGGTAGATCTCACACGTAGTAGGTAGATCTCACACGTAGGTAGATCTCACACGTAGTAGGTAGATCTCACACGTAGGTAGATCTCACACGTAGTAGGTAGATCTCACACGTAGGTAGATCTCACACGTAGTAGGTAGATCTCACACGAAGTAGGTAGATCTCACACGTAGTAGGTAGATCTCACACGTAGTAGGTAGATCTCACACGTAGTAGGTAGATCTCACACGTAGTAGGTAGATCTCACACGTAGGTAGATCTCACACGTAGTAGGTAGATCTCACACGTAGGTAGATCTCACACGTAGTAGGTAGATCTCACACGTAGGTAGATCTCACACGTAGTAGGTAGATCTCACACGTAGTAGGTAGATCTCACACGTAGTAGGTAGATGTAACACGTAGTAGGTAGATCTCACACGTAGGTAGATCTCACACGTAGTAGGTAGATCTCACACGTAGTAGGTAGATCTCACACGTAGTAGGTAGATGTAACACGTAGTAGGTAGATCTCACACGTAGTAGGTAGATCTCACACGTACTAGGTAGATCTCACACGTAGTAGGTAGATCTCACACGTAGTAGGTAGATCTCACACGTAGTAGGTAGGCCTCACACGTAGTAGGTAGATCTCACACGTAGTAGGTAGATCTCACACATAGGTAGGTAGATCTCACACATAGGTAGGTAGATCTCACACGTAGTAGGTAGATCTCACACGTAGTAGGTAGATCTCACACGTAGTAGGTAGATCTCACACGTAGTAGGTAGACCTCACACGTAGTAGGTAGACCTCACACGTAGTAGGTAGATCTCACACGTAGGTAGATCTCACACGTAGTAGGTAGATCTCACACGTACTAGGTAGATCTCACACGTAGTAGGTAGATCTCACACGTAGGTAGATCTCACACGTAGTAGGTAGATCTCACATGTAGTAGGTAGATGTCACACGTAGTAGGTAGATCTCACACGTAGTAGGTAGATCTCACACGTAGGTAGATCTCACATGTAGTAGGTAGATGTCAGACGTAGTAGGTAGACCTCACACGTAGTAGGTAGATCTCACACGTAGGTAGATCTCACACGTAGTAGGTAGATCTCACACGTAGTAGGTAGATCTCACACGTAGTAGGTAGATCTCACACGTAGTAGGTAGACCTCACACGTAGTAGGTAGATCTCACACGTAGTAGGTAGACCTCACACGTAGTAGGTAGATCTCACACGTAGTAGGTAGATGTCACACGTAGTAGGTAGATCTCACACGTAGTAGGTAGATCTCACACGTAGTAGGTAGATCTCACACGTAGTAGGTAGATCTCACACGTAGTAGGTAGATCTCACACGTAGTAGGTAGATCTCACACGTAGTAGGTAGATCTCACACGTAGTAGGTAGATCTCACACGTAGTAGGTAGATCTCACACGTAGTAGGTAGATCTCACACGTAGTAGGTAGATCTCACACGTAGTAGGTAGATGTCACACGTAGTAGGTAGATCTCACACGTAGTAGGTAGATCTCACACGTAGTAGGTAGATCTCACACGTAGTAGGTAGATCTCACACGTAGTAGGTAGATCTCACACGTAGTAGGTAGACCTCACACGTAGTAGGTAGATCTCACACGTAGGTAGATCTCACACGTAGTAGGTAGATCTCACACGTACTAGGTAGATCTCACACGTAG